ATGGCTTCAGACGGGCGGAGGGCAGATGGAGATGAGATGTGAGGAAGAACTGGCTCCCTGTGCGGGCGGTGAGCCCCTGGGGCAGGTTGCCCCGAGAAGCTGTGGCTGCCCCATCCCTGGAGGTGTTCAAGGCCAGGTTGGACGGGGCTTGGAGCAACCTGGGCTGGGGGGAGGTGGCCCTGCCCAGGGCAGGGGGTGGCCCTGGATGGTCTTCAAGATCCCTTCCAACTCAGACTGTTCTATAATTCTATGAGGATGGTGCCAGACCCGGGGTTTCAGCCAGCTGAGCCCACAGCCATAGCAGCCAGGTGTGTGGGACGTTTCGCGTCTCTGACTTCCAACAGGAGAGGAAGGGAAGGGGAATGAGGCGAAGCAAGACTGCCGTTAGCAGACAGGTGATGCAAAGCAGGAGCGTTGTCACCCCCCTTACAGAGGTGACCGATACCGCTGTGGATGGGGCAGATCAGCAACTCGCTGCCCGCAGCAGCCGTTCGCCATGAGATGTCCTCTCTTCTCGGTGTGTCCTTCTTCCCCAAAGAAAGGGAGCAGCGAAGGGAATTGATTGCAAAGCCTGAGCCGACGGCCAATTGAACAGCTCCTGCTTCGCTCACACCCGACTTAAACGGGGCTGCGTTTTCAGAAGAGCCAAGTGACACGTGGGGAGCGATGCTCCCGTGATGGGTTTTGGAAGAACGGGGACGCAGCCGCCGTCAAGGGAAAACCAACGTCCCCCAGAGGCGGGAGGTGGCCTCCGGGGACGACACCTGACATCGGAGAGATGCTAAAACCGCGGTGAGCGGCCATGCCGAGTGAATCCCGCTGCTATATCCCACCCGGATTTGGTTCGGCCAGGGGAACCTCAGCAAGGTTCTACACATCTGGCCAAGTCCTGCGCCGAGGAACGGCTTAATGTCCCCCCCAAAAAAAACGCCTCCCACCGCCTTGGCTTCTGCCTTTGGCAGAGAACTGCCTCTTTCCTTTCCCGAAGGCTTATACAACAGGGCTGGGCTCTGCCATCAACCTCCAGCATTACCAAATATTTTCCGTTCGTCTGAACTTCTAATGGGGCTCCACGAGCTGCAAAGCTCTCCCCAACGCAACGCCGCCCCATAAAACACACGCCAGCTTCTTCCACAACCCCTAAACGCCCCATTTCCCGCTAATTACGGGCTTAAAACAGCGCCACGAGCAACTGGGACATTATCAAAAAACATTTTCTGCCCAGCCCATCCCCCAGCCACCAAATAAAGCCGTAATGAAGAAAACCTGCAATTTTCTATTGTTTCGCTGCGGAGCAATAAACCAGTTCATCCGATTTTGTTATTTGCCACTTTTGAAGCATTAGGAATATATACACATACTTTTTTTTCCTCTTTTTTTCTGGAATAAAAGCAATAGAAAAGACCACGCTGGGGCATCAGCCGCAGCGGTTGAACTAAAACCAGAGGTTTGGAGCTGCTGAGCCACACTCAAGGACCACAAGAAGCCACGGAGCAAAGGGGCCACGGAGCCCGAAAATCTCGTGGTTACGGGGTAATACATCGCTGGAGTCCATCACAGAGCAAACCCGGTGCAGCAAAGCGCTGCCGCTCAGCCGGTCCGACTCAAGGAACACATAAATTAAGGAAAAATCCAGTTGTTTGGTGGGTTTTTTTCTCCCTCTGAGATCCACACATGTATTTCTACACACACGCACACGCGTGCGTGTCAAGGGCTTGGCTTCAACAGAGCACAAGGGAAAAAGAAAAAACCCTGGACCCATATAAGTTTTCAATTGCGAAGAAAAGAAAAAAAAAAAAAAAAGCGCATAATTTGGGTTGTTTGCGTTCCGAAAAATGGATACTTGTTGTGGCTGTTTTTTATTGGAAAAACCTCACGCAAAATGTCAACTGAAATATATTTTCTGCACGACATTAAAAAAACAAAAAATATAAAAAAAAAAAGAGGGG